CTCCACTCCTCCCTAGTGCTCGGCCCCCGATTTTCAGTGGATTCATGGATGCTGAGTATACAGACCACGTTTATTTCCTAGCCTTCTTTGTGGGTCGATATGGTCCTGTGCGTAGATCCTAGCCCTAGAATATAAACAAAAAAGTCACAAGCAATTTCTGGAAAGAGTCCATAAGAGTGGAGGCATACCCTTCTCACCCCCTCCTCCTGCGTACTGGCTAAGACGAGAACATAAATGCTGGAGGTGCCTCCCAGACCACTTGCTGAGGGTGGCAAAGCAACTCAACTGCATCCCTGATGCGGTGGGCCGCACGCTGGCGGACCCTGGGCTGCCCATCTCGGCCTCTCTCATTTACAGAACAGAGAAATGAACCCAAATCTCAATCCTGTTTGAAACACATTAATTTGGGGATACCTGTCTAATCCTAATTGACCTAGAAGCTGGTACCTGAATGGGGTGTGCAGAGGCTTCGATCTCACACATATCACAAGAAATGCGACCTGAGAGAGAGGGAGGGTCATCGGGGCAAGGAACAGTGGAGACCGCTCCCGTCAAACAGCAGGAAAGCATTTGCTAGAAGCCTGGCTTTCTATAGCTTAGGAGGAAGACCATACAACTGTCAGAAGCAATACCATTATAGGGACTAGCTCTGAACACTCACAATGTCAGTGTTTCCATCCTTGACACTCAGCAAAGTTCACTGAATGAAAGAGACATGATCTCCACAAGAGCCAGTCAGTCTCAAAGGATGGAAAAGAAAACAGATCTGATAAGCGGTCAGCCACGAGCAATCTACGCTGGAGACTCTGGGGCTGTCCCGGCAGCCCCCATAGGTGGTAAGACAGATGCTTCACCACAGACAGCCTGCAGCCTTGTGCCAAAGATGTCAGCAAGGGATCACCCACACCACCGTTTCGTTCAGCCAAGGGACCCGCCATCTAATTGGGTGAGAAGGGGTTGGGCAGAGTATCAGGGCCTTTAAAAAACCAGAGTTTTTAGGCTAAAAATCTCAACTCAAGATAAGATCTATGATGGTTATTCACACAGAACCATCAGAGGCCTACTAAAGTTTTCAGAAACGTCTATCTCCGCAGAAACCATAAGGCTGACCTAAAAGGCCGTGATTTCACCCTAAGAACAGTAATATTCAGACCCCCCAAACCCTCACCGAGAGTGGGTGTCAGAAGCCCATCCCGTCTGCTGCACATCTCAATGTGTTACAGTCAAAACCCTCCCAAAAGGCAAAGCCATGACCCCCAAGGACACCAGGCCAGATGCATGACCAGGAAACCTACCTACCGCCTGTGCAGGGAGTCCTTCCCTGCCCCGGGGGATTCCATGGTCCCCATCTCACCCCCGCAGCCGGTGGCAGAGAACACGTCTGTTTTAACTAGCAGACTGCCAGACCTCAGTGAGCCACGTCCAGCCCTGAGAGAGAAGGTTCCTTCCCCAGAGATCCTGAATCTGCTCGAGAGGAAGTAGACTAGTAGGGCTATCTTCCTGGAGGAGGGGGTGAGAGTTTTAGATGGGGCGGGGGGGGGGAGGGTCATACAACACAGATATTTGGGACTGAGGCAGAAATTGCTGGCTATTCCCCACCATGGGCTTCCCCCTCCTTTCTTAGGAAGGAAACTTCCAATTTTTAGCTGCAACAAGTCCCTGCGGGTGGGGGGCGGGGGGGGGAAGGGCAGAGAAAAAAGATTTTAGAAACCTTATAATAAAGATCTATTATCTAACTTAAATTTTACTTCTATTCCAGACCCTGAGGAAAGAGCCAAAGAAGTGACAGATTTAAAGAGAGAAACATGCATGGAATTCAAAGCCAGGCCACACTTTTGAAAATTCTTCTTGCTCTGCATAATAGACCTATGGATGTGGTCGGTCCACAGGAACAATTCCATATATGGTAAATTCTGATACATAGCTTTCTACATGCTGGTATTATACTAGAGTTTGACTCTGATGACCCTAGGCACTAAAAGATACCATATGAAACTGGTTGATACATGTATGTAAAGTACATTGAAGCAGTGTCTGAAAGATAAAAGCTTTCAATACATTAGCTATTATTATTATTACTATTATCATTATGACCACAATAGATTCTGCTTCCATGAGGAGAGCCCATGTGGGATCAAATATAATATTAGCTATAGACATGGTTTTGATCTGGGGCACATGGGTGGCTCAGTCAGTTAAGAGTCTGACTTTTGATCTCGGCTCAGGTCGTGATCGCAGGGTCGTGGGATCGAGCCCCGCATCGTGCTCCCCACTCAGTGTGGAGTCTCCTAAAGAGTCTCTCTCTCTCCCTCTGCCCCTCCGCTCCTGCTCTCACACTCTCTCTCCCTCTCTCTCAAATAAATACATCTTAAAAAAAAAAAAAAAAAGAAAGAAAATGGTTTTGGTCTTACTCTTAGAAAGGAATAAGCCATATTTATCCATCTCATGGTCCCTTTGTGGACAACTGTGAGTTTTCGGCATCAAGGTGACCTCAAGCTCCTTCCCCTAAAAAAGGCTACAACCCATCCACCCCACCCCACCCCCAGGAACTTCTCAGCAGGCTTGCTGACTCACGAGGCTGCAGTGAGTAACTGTATCTCACAGTGTTCAGAAGGAAGCCATGCAAGCCATGCAACAGGACATCTGTATGTTATGGTGAGCAGCCACTATTCATTAACGTGGGATCTGCTCTGTGCCAAGCAGAGGGATTAATCATTAATCATCAAAGCTATTTCATTCTCTGTGCTCTACAGAGACCAGGCAAGAAGAGAAACAAAGACACTTCCTAAATGCCCTTGGAAAAGCCAAAATATTTTTCTCTTCTGTAAAAATAAAAACTCGTAATCCTACAGAAGGTTCTGACTCTGCTATTGTCCCGCTCAGCTACACACTTTTCCAGACTCAAGTTGCTTAAGACAGAATGTAAAAAAAAAAAAAAGAAGAAGTTCAGTATCAAAAAGGAACTTACCAGTAATCAAGGGTACTAAAGCAGTGTATTTACACGGCATTTTCTTTCTATCCTAAAACACGTGCTCACCAGGATGTAAAGAAACCCAACCATCTGATTACACAGGAGATGGGTCATCCACTCTAGACGGCTTGCAGTCCTCTTAGTAATCACTGCCCACTACACGAGCTCAGAGCCCGTAATTCCAGTGGTTCAAGATCATCCCAACATAAAATATTCTTCACTTGGGGCGCCTGCGTGGCTCAGTCGTTAAGTGTCTGTCTTCGGCTCAGGTCATGGTCCCGTGGCTCAGTCGTTAAGCGTCTGCCTTCGGCTCAGGTCACGATCCCAGGGTCCTGGGATCAAGCCCCGCACCCTGCTCCGCGGGAAGCCTGCTTCTCCCTCTCCCACTCCCCCTGCTTGTGTTCCCTCTCTCACTGTGTCTCTCTCTGTGTCAAATAAATAAAATCTTTAAAAAAAAAAATATTCTTCACTTACTGCCCAACAAAAATGGAGAAGTGCCAGTGTTTTGTTTTGTTTTTTTAAGATTTTATTTATTTGAGAGAGAGAGAGCACGAGCAGGAGGAAGGACAGAGGGAGGGAGAGAGAAGCAGACTTGCCACTGAGCAGGGAGCCCGACGCGGGGCTCGATCCCAGGACCCTGAGATCACGACCTGAGCCAAAGGCAGATGCCTCACCGACCGAGCCACACAGGCGCCCCATAAAGTGCCAATGTTTTTCTATCTAAATTTAATCTCCCAAAATCCTATGTCAAATGCCGTGTCTGATTTTTTATTTGGAAAAAACGATGATAATAGGTCACCTTTTCAATATAAATAGCGTGCTCTTGAGTAACAGAGGATTATCGCAGAGTTTGCGCAAGCAAGTAACAATTGTTCCATATACAAACACAGGCTTTTTCCTTCTCATCGGAGGGCACGGGACTGGGTAGGAGGAGAGGAAGGAAACGGAAGAGAACACTGAAAAAAAGTACCTGTGACAACACAAAATAACCCAGCAAATAATTGTTCACGGTCATGACTCATATTCCCCTCGTGCTACACCCACCTCACTCTACTGATTCCGCTCCACGAACGCTTTCTCTACACACTATTCACACAAAACCGCCAATTCCATGGCTTTGACGATGACAGTCAAGAAAATTCTAAGGCTATCTCATCATTTTATAACAACATATTATCAAATTCCAGAAATTATTAAGAAAGACCAACATATTTCCCTACGGTGAATTAGGCGTCTAATTGTGCAGTCCCATGAGTGAAAATGCCCAGAAACTGTGAATCCAGTGGGGTGTTTGGTTTTTGTTTTTTAGTTTTACAGTCCTCAAATTTTAGTCCCATGGTGAAGGAAGATGCCTTTCTTATTCACTCCCTCTGTAAGCCTACTTTTTAAACTATCTCAATATAAGAATATTAATACTAATTTAAGAGTTAAAAAAATTCCTTTCATCTGTTTGTCATTTTTTTAAACTTTAACCAAAGTCCATGAAACAGAAGAAATAAGAAAGAAAACTCTGTAAGAATAAATCTCAAACATCTAAATGGGATTAGAGAGCGCCTGCAAAATGTATTGAATAGGGAACATATCAAAATGGGTTTCCAAAAGTACGAAGTTTCCAATTCATTTCAACTGAACACAGCTCATATGTCGTTCAAATGTGCTGTCCTGGCCCCCCCACAAAACATCTTCTGGTTACAACAACACAAAAATAAAATAATGGCCTGAGTAATAACACCACTGGGTAAAGATATTTTTCCATCAAGTTTTTCCCGAGGATCATCTGAAAGGCCAACCACCAAGGGAAGGAAGAGAGTCACAATTCACAAAATCCCCTTGCTTTCAAATATAAACCTGTGATCAAGGAACATTTTTAAACTTTTCTTCCTACGTTTTACCTCTTCTAGGACCACCTTGCTTTGCTAATGGGCTTATTGAGAATTCCCCTTCGTTTCTACCCCTTCTCCCCCAACTTTGGTCCGACAGGAGACTCCTCTGGACTCCTCTGAGCAGCTGCACAAAGTCTGGCCAGAACTTACCCGTCCAGAAGGTTCATCGTGGTAGGCGTCACTTCGGCAAACAGAATTACTTTTCCAAGTCGCTCTGTCTGCAGATTCTGTCGGTAGATGTCTAAGTTAAAATTTTCTGAAGAGAAGGCCTCCACGTCAGTCACCACAGGTAGGGCAGATGGATTGATTTCTATTTCAGACGTGTAGGATGAAAGAAACTTAAGGGAGAGCTTGCTGGATTTTATGACTCCTTCAGGATCCACATGCTTCCCCAGCCACCGCATAAGAGGATCCCAGATTTCCTGTGTTATAAAGAAAGAAATGAAAAGGTCGTAATTTGGCATTACATGAGGTGATGGTAGCCTTTCCCTAAAATGCCACTTTGGTAATATAAGTACTTCCTAATTCATGACCAGTAAGAGCTAGAGTAACATATTCCAAACATCTGTGCCATCATCATACAGTAGACAATAAGTATAGGAAATATGCTTATACCATAAAAATACACTTGACCCTTCAACAATGCAGGTTTGAACTGGGAAGGTCCACTTATGCTTGGGCTTTTTTCGATAAATACAGTACAGTACTGTAAATGTATTTTCTCTTCCTTACGCTTTTCGTAATAATGTTTTCTTTTCTCTAGCTTACTTTCTTGTAAGGAGACTGTATATAATACACATAGCACACAAAGTACGTGTTAAGGGGCGCCTAGGTGGCTCAGTCGTTAAGCATCTGCCTTCGGCTCAGGTCGTGATCCTAGGGTCCTGGGATCGAGCCCCATGTCGGGCTCCCTGCTTGGCGGAGAGACTGCTTCTCCCTCTTCTGCTCCTCCTACTTGTGTTCCCTCTCTTGCTGTGTCTCTCTGTCAAATAAATAAATAAAATCTAAAAAAAAAACAAACAAACAAAATACGTGTTAATCGACTGACTGACTGTTTATGCCATTGGTAAGGTTTTCAGTCAACAGTATGCTATTGCCATTTAAGTTTTTGGAGAGTCAAAGTTATATGCTGTGGATTTTTGACCTCCCTGGCAGGGAGTGGGGTGGAGAGGGGAATTCTCCTAATTCCCACACTGTTTGAGGATCAACTGTAAACTGTTCAGAAGCCAGGATCCAAAGAAATAAATGCACCTTATTAAACTTTCTATCCTACATTATATCCTAAATCCTTAAAAGTCTTCTCCGGCTCTAAAGTTCATTAGTAATTCTCTAAGTCTGTGCCTTTTGCAGGAAATTTACAGCGTTAAACTTTCGCCCCTCAAGGAAATTCATTATCCTATCTGGGGAAATACTGTAAAATGCCAGAACAGGAGTCACAGAACACAAGGCACTAAGATAAGAGCATTCGCTCTCCCCCTCTGGAGGACCTCTACCCCCTCTCCTAGACAAGCTGACCCCCACCAGCCACTGACAGGTCACCAGCAGGGGGAACGTGACTTTTACATTGGCGAAATAATGGGGAACCCAACAGCTGCCTCCACTTTGTCCAAATGTGGGTCCGGGGGGGTTGGGAGGGAGGCAGAACCTACTAGAAACCTTGCCTGATCCAGAACAGAGCTCTCTATTCCAATCCCTACAACAAGAAGGGGTCTGGGAGCCTCCAGCAGGCTGCAACTTCCTCTCAGGCCGTGGACGCCCCACCCTGGAGGGACCTCCCTCCGGGGTTGGGTAGGACGTGGGGCACCAGGGAACTACGGGATCAGGGAGCCATCACCCTGAGAAGCCAACACCAAATGTATTAAGATCAGAGAGTCACAGTAAACACAGACCTAGGCTCTTAGGCCACCTTCATGCAAATGCTGGGCCTTTCGAAAGAGGAAAGGCGCCCTTCTGTTAACACAGGGTATGCCCCAAAGCTGCATGTGGCCGCAGAGAAGCAGCCGCAAAGATGAAATCTCACTGAACTAAATTCAACTAATGGACCATTAAAATGCACCTCCACTTGATGAAAAATATAGAGGACAGAAGAACAAGTTAAATAACCTCAGGAGGAAGGAAATCAGAAGAAATCAAGAAGGTGAGATATTTCACAAAACAAGAATTGGCAAGTCAATCACAGGGGCCCCAAAGGCAGAAGGGGGGTGGGAGGGTGAAACTCCGTCTGGATGAGGAGAGACGTGAAAGACACGATCAAATACAGTGAGTGGCTCTTCACCGCATTCTGGTCCGAACAACTGAGCTGGAAGAGACATTTTGAAACAATTAGGAAATTTGAATCTGGAGAGTATGGATCAGACAACAAAGATTCACCGTCAGATCCAGTAGGCATGATAACGGTACCGTGGTGATGTAGAAACACGGCCTTAATGGTAGAAATGTGTATGTGTCATGGTATCTGTAGTTTACTCCCAAAATAGATGAAGCAAATAAGGCAAAACGCTAATAACTGTTAAAGTTAGACCATGTGTATTTGGGGTATCTGTCACACTATTCTCTCTATTCTTCTCTAGATTTTAAAACTATCATAATTAAAAGTAAAACAAAATGGGGGCACCTGGTTGGCTCAGGCGGTTAAGCAACCGACTCTTGGTTTCGGCTCATATCACTATCTCAGGGTCGTGAGATCAAGCCCCGTGTCGGGCTCTGTACTCAGCGCGGAGTCTGCTGGTCCCTCTCCCTCCCCTTTTGCCCCTCTCCCCACTCACACACACACTCTTTCTCTCAAATAAATATATAAAATCTTTTTGAAAAGTAAAAAAAAAGATAAAACAACACACACACACAAATGGTAAAATAAACACTAACCATTATAAAAATATCAGATTCAATTAAAATGTTTTGTCAATCCATTCATGCGACAAATATTATGATATTATGGGGTGCCTACCACCATATGGTAGACTTTCTCATAGGTTCTGGACATTCAGTAGTGAACAAAGGAACCAAAGTTCCCATCCTCAAAAGGCTTAAATCCTAGCATGGGAGTCAGATCATTTTTATAAAAATTCATCAGCACGAGACATAGAATGTTAGTCATAAAGTGCCAAGGAGGAGACGATAAGCAGAGAAGAGAGATAAGAAGTGTTGGAGGTAGGCCATCGTGGGGAGGGCAGGTGAACCCTGGGGGGAGGGAAGAAAGGAGGGTGGGACAATGTAACCCACACAAGCCCATGGCTCTTCTCTATTTACATAGAGGATTCCAAGGGGGAGCAGAGGCCCAAAGAGGAGCATGAGGGAGGGAAGTGCCCAGAACGCAGAGCAAGCCAGGAGGAGGCCAAGGAGCCCAGAGGAGGGAGGTAAAGGGGCACCCACACGGTGCAAGGTCTGAAGGGCCACAGCGGGGACTGGGACTTTCACTCTGGGGGCAATGAGGAGCCCTGGAGGCTTTGGGAAAGGGAGTGTGGTGACCTCCTGGTCACAGTCACCGCAGGATCACTCACTCAGCAAACTGCCCTGAGCACAGATTAAGGGGCAGCAGACACCAGTCAGGAAGCCTCTGAAGCTCCCGGGAGGGAGATGCTAACGCCTGGACAGGTGTCACGGTGGCCACGCGACTGACGTAGAGGCCGCAAGATGCGCTGACAGATCACCCTTGGGATGTCAGAGGGAATGGGGAGTCAAAAATGAGCCCAAGCAACCAATTCAGCCAACCTTATGTGTCAGACAAGGAAATAAAGGCTTACTTCTCTTAAAAAAAAAAAAAAAAATGAGGCCAACATTTCTGGCCTAAGCACCTGGAAGGATGGAGCTGCCCCTGGAAATACTGAGGGTGGAGGGAAGGAACAGGTGTGGACCGGAAGAGCCGGTTCTGGGCACATCACATGAGACACTGGTTAGAAACACACGGAGGCAGCGAATAAGCAGTAGGACACGTGAGTCAGGGATCTAGGGGAGAGGTCCACACCGAGGACATAAATTTGGGAATCTCCAGACTGCAGATGATAATCTGAAGGCAGGAGACAGGCTGAGAGCACTGAGGGAGTGACTGTAGATGAAAAGAGGGGTTACACCGGTTTCCTGGGGCTGCCACTACAGAGTGCCGCAAACTGCGGGGCTTAGACAGCAGAAATCTACCATCCCACAGTTCCGGAGGCTGGAAGTCCCAAGATCAAGGTGTTGGCAGGGCCAGGCTCCCTCTGGAGGCGCTAGGAGAGAGCCTGTTCCAGGCTCCTCTCCCGGCTTCTGGTGTTGCTGGCCATCCTTGGCTCCCTTCCCTGCGCCTGCGTCTCTCGTCCTCTTCGTCAAAGGACACTAGCCATATTGGGTCAGGGCCAGCCCTAGCGACCTCATCTTAACTGGATTATGTCTGCAAAGACCTTATTTCCAAATAAGGACACCTTCACAGGTTCTGGAGATTAGGACTTCAGTGTACGTTCTGGGGGGACAAAATTCAACCCACAACGGGTGTCAATGCTTAGATGTCAGGGAGAGGAGGAGGAGTCCGCAAAGGACACTGAGAAGGCAAAGGAAAATCAAGTGTGCGTGCACAGGGTGTGGGAGCTCCCTGGGAATTCTGGGGTCCAGGTTCACAGGCAGCAAGAAGGTAGGAAGATGGAGGGAGGGCAGCAGGAAGAGGGCTGAGTGGTAACCACTGGATTCTGCAAGGCAGAGCCCATCGGGCGCAGGCAAGTCTGATGTTATTAAGGGAAGGAAAGAAACCACAGACTCCAAGAACAAAACTTTGGCAAGGAGTTTCCTCTTAGGGAAAAAAAGACGGGGGCAGTGGCTACAGGGAGGAAGGGAGTCCTCCAAACAGGTATGGTTTGGTTAAATGAGAGAAATAACAGCATGTGTTTTAATGATGATGTGAATTGTCCGATCCAGAAAGGTAACAGGTGAACAGGTGAGGACTGGATCCCAGTGCTCAAGCAAAGAGGTCAGCTTCAGGAGCAGAGCCCTCCAGCACTGGGATGGACAGGGTTCCACATCCCCGCTGGAGACCCTAGCCTGCTTCCCCACTGGGTTGCAGCCCTCTCTCACCCCTGCTGGCCGCACAACCATCCAGGACAGCCCTGGGACCTCATCTATGCTACCATTATTCTGCTCCCAGGCTGACAGGGAGGTAGGAAGGAGCCCCGGGCTGAAGGCTGCTGACATCATCTTCGGATTCCTTCTGTTTTTCCTCAATAAATAAACAGCAAGATCATCAACTAAGAGTGAAAAGGAAGAAAGAGGTTTGAGAAGGCAGAGTGAGAAAATGAGGAAAGCAGGGAAAATAGAAGGAGCAAGTGGAAGTGTTCAGGGTCCACTCCAGGTTAGTGTTTCTGAATTCAGAGTGAGCAGGTGACCCAATGTCGTGCTTTTATCCAGCCACACTCAGCTACAGAGCTACATGGAATAGGCTCAGAGGAAGCTGAGGGGG